GCCGCGGTGGCGGCGGCTCGTCCCAGGGACCGGTTGTGCACGACTCGGGTTTTCCATTCTGCCAAGGATACAGTCAATGAGCAACTAGACGCGTACCGAGTACGCCGGTGTCGCAACACTCTTGTTGTGGACCGCATAGAGTTGAAAATGTAACCCACACCGAGTGATACGGCCGTGTTTATTTTGTCGTAGTAAATTGTTTTATCTAGAGAGTGAGTAGTCCTAATTTATGCTCATTATTATGTATTTGTAAATTTCCTTAGTTTAATCCATTTATGTGTACGGTACGCGCTTACACATTTGGTTCACTTTAATGATGTTGTTTGTCTATATTCATATTAATATGATGAAAGATTTGATTGTTTGTGTATTTCGTATAAGGACCGAAGTGGCTAAACTTATTTAAAATAAAACCACCTACTCTTCGATACTGGTCTAAGACATTCTTGCATAATGTGATATTATTAAATTATACATATACATCGTATGTATTCGATATAATTATCAGGAAATCTTCCATCGACAACATGTGTGTTGAGTATCAAATTGGTCGTTTTGATGAGACACGTGTTTAAAGATGTTTTTGAATAGGTACATAGGTGTATTAACGTGTGCACCAATTGTGCACTAATTGTGCACATCCCTTCTCAGGAGTCCTATGAAATCCATTCTATATCGTACCTGTCTTGATGAATGGTCAAGAACTTGTTATGAATGTCATCCATATTTAGGTACAGTTCATCATAATCCTGATTTTGTTAGTTGAGCTGCACATTGACATGCCGTGTTGTGTCGTTGTTGGCGCATGTTGTTAATATAAACTGATAGATATCATTGTCTGTCGCAATCCAATAGGATTAAAATGTGTTTCCACCTTTATGCTGCAAAACTCATAAAACAATATCGCTAAATCGATTGGTTAAATGAATGGAGATTTTCAGGTTTTGTCGAAGAAAAATCTTGCCGTTATATAACATAGTCTTAAATTTTATAGCCTAACTCAATAAATAGAGAAACTCAACGTTACCTATATGCAGATTGTATTGTATAAAGTATTTTTACGAAATAAAACGAACCTAAAAAAAAATATAATTAAATTTTTGATTTGACTCGTCAAAGACACTACACTGAGATAAAATCCAGGATCTGGTGATGGACCTGGAAAGTGTTCACGGGAACTGTGGTATTAAATAACGCAACCCCGTCGACATTGGGCTCGTTCGTTTTGTTATACATATAAGCATCTCTTACCAAAGATACCTACAACAAACGCTAGTTTAAAAATATCATAATATTAAGGTAATTCACCGAACGTTTTTACAGTTTTTGAAATATTTTCAACTTTTTCAGTATCTGATTATATAAAAATATACGATTATTAAAAAAATATGATCAGCCCCGTCTCGAGTTTACACATATATTACCAATAACTAGTTTATAGTCACACGCCGGTAGACAGACAGCAATAACAATTAATGAGCCGTGTACGTGACATATTCGTATGAGAGCTGAGTGTACTATGACATCGATATATATTGTTTCATACTCATTTAATATTTTGGTTATCGATTGTTGTTCTTTGTTCATCTGTAATGCCGCCATATAACTAATGCAATGGCGACATTCGGAAACACGGTCAGAAGAAGCGTCGTCTGTTTAAATCTGACTAGAACTATAACTGCGATAGTTTATAATCTATCGCGTTAGATTATAAACTGAGAATGTTTATAACTTCACGGTGATATGCAGAAGGCGCTCGTATCGCCTCAGCAATCTCTGCTATGCGGGTTGCTCTTTGCCATGTTTAATAAATATATAAAGAATTAATGACGGAAGCTCCTGGAATGTGAAGAAATATTGGTGTTAAAAAAGAAGAAGTACAATCACTGAATATTAACAGGATTAGGAATGTCAAGGCCGGTAGGAAGTGACTCATCATTTACTTGCATTTTAGTTTGTTCTCGACGTCATCTGAGGAACCTTCAGATACCATGTCTTTTATCGATTCTTTGTTTACGTGTGGGTTACCTTTTTAGATGCTGTTATCATAACACTCAACCTGAATAGTTGTAGGCAGACTGTGAACACGTCACAGCCGTGTTAGCTGTAGCCATTTACGAGCCTACATTTATTTTTTGAGATGGTTCTTGTTTATGTAAAACAATCGTCTGTTTTTTTTTGCGAATCAGTTGTAAACTCTGTTATTTTTTCTTTCTTTATAAAAATAAAGTTATAAGCTACAATGCTTATTATTGCTATTATTTAGGTGTGATATAACTTTATATCTGTAAAATCAGTCTACTAAATTTCTCTAACACAACACAAAACGTCAGTGGAATATTAATGAAGCGATGATGCTCTAATTTATACTGGTACATGCCTACGTTTAAATAGAGAATGGAACTTATGAATTTATCAATAGCAGACATCTTCGTTGTCGAGGGCACATTCAATATATGGGTATAGCTATCTTGTTACTATAGATACTTAACAGAGGCCACAAGCGGAACATTTACCCTAAATAAATAAAGATAATGCTCCAAAATGGCCCACTTCTATAATCATCTCAAAAATGGTGACAAATTTACGGTTGGATTGCCGCATCTAAAGAAACGTGAATGCTTAATTTAGTGGTTTAAAAAAAATAAACTAGACCAGACGGCGACCATGGGCTAGGTGAGCGTCTAAAATGTTGATGCATCGTTGTTGATTTCATTCCAAATTCATGTTACACGGTGATTTACTTTTATTGCTGTATTAACACCGGATATATATACCTATTAAATTTTATTATTCCCTCCAAAAACATATCTAGGGATATTGCCGAGAAATATGATAAGTAGACAATGTATTGACTATGTATTTCCGCCTATTTATTGTTTGATCATTCAGGCCTTCGTTTTTATAGATCGATCAGTTACGAGGTGATAGAGCCAGCGTGTAATCTATATATTTTAAGTGCTTGCCTTTCACCAGCACCATATATGCTTAGATTTTTAAAACATAAAGCTTCACTATCGAGAAGAGAGATACAAGATTAATACACGCACCTTGTTATTTCTAACACAATGTTACCTTTGAGCGTCTCACAGGCTTCTCTCTCTCTCTGGAGGATTTGTTATAAATCTCACCTGCCTCTGCGGAGCCGCACTCGCATTGTTACTGAAATATTTTATCATATTACTCGTACATAGTTCTTTATTGCGTTAACAGCTATTTACCAACCGATCTGTAACAGACGCTCTGGGTCGTTATAGATCGATTAAAGTGTTGTTTGTATTAAATAATAAAATGGTTTATTTCGACTAATAGGTAAATTACTGAAAAAGTTGTTGCTTGGAAAATGGGCGAACTAACCACAGCATATTTTTTCAATGCGGCCATATCTTTCATCATTTATTTATCGAAATGAAAATAATGAGTGAAATCTCTGTAGGAAACATTATCAGTTCAAAGCAAATGAAGCTAGCTATACTATTATTATAAAGAGGCAAAATGCGAACAATCGTAAATAGGCCCCAAATCTATATATGGGATTTTGATAATTTATGTATAGCAAGCTGCATCATACGCGGGTAATATAGGCTACAATTTATGCGGACGAAGTCGCGGAACAGCTAGTAGTGCCTGTTCAATAATAAATCTTAAAAATAAAAAGTGACAGTTGTCTTGTGCCGCCCACAAATCACAGTTCGACGATGTAGTACATATACATCCTTTGATGATGATGTCGACACTTAATAAGTACAGTCAACAGCACGTCAGATTATACAAAACTGTGGTAGCCTGACGTGCAGCCACACGGCTGCACGTGTGAACATAAGGACTTTTTTGCTATCCCCGTCTAAACACTTCTGTAGAAAATATTACTTTGTCTGGTGTTCTCTTGGATAACTTGGTTATCGTAATGTTTTGCCTATTATTTAGAGATTATTAATCGATATCACGTTCGTCATTTTGTTATATATCAATGAACATTATCGTAATCACATGTAACATCGTTTTGTCAGTGTATACCTTATCAAAATACATAGATGTAATATTATATATAATACTAGCTTTTGCCCGCGACGTCCGCGTAGTAAAGTTACTTTAAGCAGCATTTCAAACGAATATTTATTCATTATATTGTGTGAAATATCTGAAATAAAGTATCATTTATCAAAATTCTTTCTTAGGGGACGCCTACGTCATAGTAGCTTTATGCATGCAAAGTCGAGCCCGATCGGTTTAAATTTGACAAAGTTTCATACAAAGTTTCATCCCCTACTTTATCCCCTTGGGGAAATAATTGATAAAAATCCTTTCTTAGGTTACGCCGACGTCATAGTAGCTTTATGCATGCAAAGTTTCAACCTGATCGGTTTAAAATTAACAAAATTTTTATCCCCTTGAGGGTAGAATTGATCAAAATCCTTTCTTAGCGGATGCCTAAGTCCTAACATCTACCTGCATACGTCCAGTGGTTTGGGCTGTGCGTTGATAGATCACTATGTCAGTCAGTCATCTTTGAGTTATATATGTATATATATATATAGATATGCTAAATATTTGTTTGAAATTTCAATTCTACTCCAAGTATACATTATAGGTAATATGCAATCTCAATAAGCTACCTAATGCCAGGTGCTTTGTTTTATTTTGTATTCTTATTTATCAGCTGGTATAGCTAGGTACCTAATACGTATATTGTCTGACAGTTTGATTTATTTTATTTCGCGCATCGCAGCACAGTTTAGTATTGTGAATGACACCGCATAAAAACATGATGCAAATTACTCAAGTGAAAACAAAACTTCACCCTCCAATTATGTCGGTCGCCTGAATTAGGCCGGCTGATTACGCGCTATTGGCTGGGTCAAGTCCAAGGCACGCACAATTGACTCGATAAGTCTTCGTACAGATATTCTATTGACTATACCTATAGTGTTAAATTTTCATCTATGTTTCAGTTATAGATAAACGTAAATGAGAAATCATGAATTGCTTTATTGTTACAGTTCTGGATCAGGCGGAGTCGAGGCCGGCCAAGTCCAGTGCAGTCGAACATCAGAGCAAACATACACAAACTACGGTGGAACTTATAGCGGAAGACGACGAAGTAAGTGAAAACGTTCACTCACAGTATCGATGCTGGGATAGATATACAGATTATAACTGAACATGATCTCCTTTCCACCACCATGCGCTCTATTTTACCCCTATTTTGACCTTGTCTCACTTAATTTCTGCCCGCGATTTTCCTCGAGTCTTCGCTCCAGCTGTGGATTCATTGACTGAGATAACCACCCACTGCCACTTTATTTCTTTATCATAATCTTTGTCTTTGTGTATTTTATCCTTCGCGGCCTCGGTGAAGCTCCGAGCGCATCACATTCTATAGCTAGGTGAGTTACTTTTATAGGCGTGGAACCGTTCATGATAATTAATTAAATAATTTTAGTAGATTAACAGTTCATTGTTTCGGTAATCTACCACGTAGTAGCGACCTTCGTAACTGTTGGCAAACAAACAATATTGTGTAAGCGCATAGTGCAAGGCAAGGTTCGGAGAATGCCGTCGCTGTCACGTCTCGCTCAGCTCGGTCGCCATAATCCGCATGCCGCCCGCCGGTATGTGCCGATATGTGTATTTGTTAGGAGAAACACTAGGCCGAAACGTGAATATACAAATTACAACTTCTAATATGAATTATTATAAATTTCTTTTTTTATATAATGCGAGACACTTGTTGCCAACGCATGACGCGAGCGATGTAATCGTGACGAAATGTGTCTTAGTGTATATTCTGTGATATAAGCTTTTACTAAACGCTATTCGCCATCCTCTGTTTTATCTATCTCGTTGTGGGGTCAGACAGGGACAGTCCTACACACTTTCTACCGACCGTACACCACGAATGTCAATCACGCATAGAATGTAACATTTACTTTTATGCGCGCGCACAAATTTGAGACGACCAGTTTATGTGTACACCTACTATTGTTATATAAAATAAAAATCTGGTTTCGTATTCTTCCTGTATTAAGACATAGTAAAACTATTTTATCTTCCATATTATTATTTCATTAAACTATAGTAGTTTACTCTAAAGTATATAGTTTTTTCTTTAGTGCATTAATCGGTATAAGTAACATGGTGCGCATTATAGACTTTCATTGGAGGTCCTTTCAAAACTAATTGGTCGTTCATTTAGTTTGTATATATCACCGGAAAGCATTGAAGTTATTAATTATTATAAATTGTATTATGACCTTTGAATCATGATCCAGACCAGATAACCTTATTGTACTATTTAAATTGCAAAACATGTTCCTTATTCATAAATAACATAATTTTATGTTTTATTTGTTCACATAATGTTACGATTACGTTTGTTACGCTTGTTTTGTGTTCGATAACCGTAAACTTGCGTGAGTTTACTATATATTTATTTTCTGTTTATTTGTTTGTTTATGCCATCGAAGTATTGATTATTATTTACCTGAAAACAATTACTTTTTTACTGTTAGAATGCACAAGTGAAATGATCCAAATACAAAATTATAAACAAGACATTCCGAATAAACGAGATTTTTAATAATAACAAGTTTTTATACAACACCCAATAGACAAAAAGATATGAATTACACAAATGTGGTACTATAGACGATCTCTTCGCTTGCTTTCTTGATTTCTACCAGGGCAACTAGACAATAAGAACTCTTGTTGTAGGTGTATGGTATAGTCGATCAGATCCGAACTCTATCTTATCTCAACCATCACAATTCCTAACAATTATGTTACAAATTACTTCGTTCTACCATTCTAAAGGATTAGGGGTCCATATGGGGCTTTTACAGCCCCGAAAGTTTTCATTCATATTTTTCAGTTGTGCAATGTTTGTATATTTTCGTCAAAATATCACCCCTTTTTCGAAGATTTAAGTTAATATTTTTATAAGAGCGTTAATGCAATTGCAAACTATGGGTTTTATAGATATAACAAGTGTTAAAATAGGATAAAGATATTAATGAAAACTTAGAAAATATATATTATGAAATATTAAATAAAAATAAAATTTCAAAGATGCTATCAACCTGAAGTTTAAGTAATTTTAAAAGCTAGAAAAGTCTTTATGGGTCAATCATCCTTAAAATCATCGAAAAATAACTTTGTTCAGATTTTCTTAATGTGTTTTTATATTTTACAAAGGCATCAAATACATAAATGTAAATATAACGTGTACATCGAAATATAACAATGGCAGCAGCGGATACTTTTGTTGTCGTTTAGCAATAAACAATGTTACATTGTTATTCACAGATTTACGGTTCATTAGAATGCGGAACTCGTCAACGTATTGACATAAAAAAATACATGCGACTTCTTGAAACTGTACATCGGAAGCGGAGATTATGACGCTCGAAAGAACAAATCTGAAACGGTAAATAATATAGTACAGAAACGGGTCAGTAACCCACGCGCGGTCGGCGTCCAACATACTGGCCCGGCGATGGCGGCAACATACATTTCCGCTTGCCAATATATAACACACATATATGTTAGCGCGTTCTCCGAATGCCTTACTGTTTACAAGCTTATTGAACTTACCGTGTTCAGTTGGTGGCCAAATCCTGCGAGCTAAATTTGTACCACTTTCCGCTTTTCGTTTGCGCTGAAATGTTGCATGCGCATGTACCTTAGGTGACTATGTAATGGAGCTGATCTGACGATGGAACCAGAAGGTACTTACGTATTTCACACATTTGAATAATATAATAAAACACCAAAGAGAGCAGACGCCGAGTGATTCGCAGCAGTGACTAGTGACGCCTCCCAATAGTATTGAACCGTCGCTGTTTGTATTTTTAAATCAATTAATTTATTAATATTTCATGCATCCGACGACTTAATGCCATAGGCATTTTCTCAAAGTCAACTTTAGAGGGATGTGACCAAAAATATATGGTGGTGTGCTGTCGTAACTAACCATTCGTATGTTTATCATTCTTTGGATGCATATCGCTAATTTTGTTTATATCGACCATCGTTTTAGTTTTACATTCTATGACTACGGACCTTCAGTTTTATACCTGTAATCATTCAAATTCTGTAATACAACCTTATCCAAATCTCTACGAACTTTCATCCTATGTTTTTGCTTACTTACACTATTGTAAATCCTTACCTGTAGCTTTCTCAGTTTTTCGTTTTACTGTTTACTATTTCTAATGATATCAAAGCACTTATTTATATAATATAACAAATTTTATCGTTAATTTTAATTGTTTTGACAGAATTGACATCAAAGTTTTTCTTCGTTGTCACGGTTGTACTTAATACTCTTCATGAAAATTGACTCACTGTTTGTAATTTTTAGGTATTGAAACTTTGTAGCTTTTGAATTTTTAGGGTTCTCGATTGAAATCATTTACTTCCAAATTTGAGAAGTATATAAAGCCCTCCCTTCAAGTAGGTATATAAAGCCTTGTCTGTGTAGTTCTTGATCACTTCAACGGCAACAGTTGCCAAAGTTAGCTTTTTGAGCTCGTACTGAGCTACCTAAATTCTTAAACGCCTATTTCCCGGGACCGACCGCCCCGGGAACTCTTCAAAGTTACGGTCTCAAAGTTACTTAACACCATTTTGGCTTTAATTAGACCTCAACAAATCAATACTCTACTAAACCTCCTTCGCTACTCTACCACCTACAATCTTAGACTAGAATATCCTCTCCTATAGGCTGTCTACAAATCTACACCTTTAGGCCTGAGCTGCTGTTCAGTTCTGGGCTGCCTGAGAGTCACTCGTTCGACGCATCGAGAGACTATACTTCGCCGAGTTACGCTCCGGATTCAGACGCCCCTCAAGACTGCAGAACCACATCGCTGATTCCTTGAGATGACGTCGATTATTTCTGAGAAGCACATCAATATTATCAACGGAACTTCGTCGCTGACCCACGCCCCTTCACCGGATCACCTACACCACTGATACCTATCACTTTTCACTACTCACTTCACCACTCACATAAATAATCCATCTTCTAATTCTTCATAATTCCATCTTCGAATTTAGTTAGATACCCCTGTTTCATAACTGTGCACAATGTGCATAATTTGTATTAATATCTACATATAAATACAAATTATGCATATTATTAAGCATTATTATAAAAAAAAAACAATACTCTCTGTGATCACTGTGATTACCTATAAAGGAAATTCGACGAATCAACAAATTATAGTACATAATGATCAGCTTATGGATTGGTAAAGCAGAAGCCCGTTTTGTCTAATTTCGGTAGAATATTCTAGTCGAAACGGAGCTTATTATATTAATTAAGAGTCTGTAGGTAGTGAAGGTCAGAAGTGGGCGTCAACGATAACGCTATACAGCAATAATTAATTTATGAAAGCGTTTCAAGAAAGATTATCACAGAAAATACATAACAACTTTTAATAAAAAAATCAAATGTAAGTATATCACTTTCTATTCAACAGTTGTAATCATAACATTGTGATAAAATTGCATATATATGTAGTCTCTTATGCTGACTAAAAAGAGATGTAAGGTATGAGCTTTTGATGATTGTAATATTAAATAAGTAATCTATAATTACGCAATCGGAGATGTCTACATCGGCGGTTTGGTGCTGCGTGTGTATACTCGTATGTTCGATTGTAAGGAGGTCGTTAGAAACTGCTCGTGGCCGTCGATACGGTTAGTGTTGGGGATGGAAACAACAGTTTGGAGATTTGAAGGCGTTTATTCTTTCTTCTTATTTGCAGTACAAAGTACGAAAACGTTCGTAGGCATGCTTTCATACAAATCGGGTTTACTTAAGTGGGATTTGTTCGTTCGCACTTAGCTACTATCCTAACGCGTTAATTGACCTAATAGATTCATGTTATGTCGGTGCCCCTTCCACTATGCGGCGGGGAGGTCGCGGGGGGGTGCTCCCGTCGCTGCTGCCCGTGGTGTGCCCCCTCCACTCGTTGCGGGGGTGAGGTTGCGGGGAAGGGTCTTCATGTCCGCCGTCCGTAACAGTTCTCCCCCCGGCGAAGAGACGCTCGAAGAGATGCTCGGAGCCCCTTTCGCCGGATCGGACGGCTCGCC